TCTTTTAACCCGCCACTTCGGGACGAAACGTCATCGGACGGGGAGCGACGAGGAGAACCGAGTAGAAAGGGAGGGTGGCAGGGAGGTCGGAAGGGAGGGTGAGAGCAACGAATTTACATCGCGTCGATCGTTTGATCGCCTCGGCTCTCGGCTGGCGGCCGGTTCCGCCACGAGAAATTAATTGCAAATTTTACGCTGGCTGCTTTTAAAGGACACCGCGGAAGCGAGATTTCACGGCGAATCGTTTCGAGAAATTGACGCGCTTTCACTCCCCTCCGCCTTTCGAATCGAATTTCAAGGAAATCGGCCCGCTGAAAAGTAACTTCCGGTAATTAAAACGGGCTCGGAAGTACGCTCGACGCTGCAAAGCCGACCGAACAAATCCGATTTCACGGATCGTCGGATCACCGAGCGTTTCGGAAATTTTCGCTTCGGCTTCCGATATCAATTTATCTTCGCTTTCTTTTTTTTTTTCGTCGAAACATCTCCGCGAGCGCGGAATACTAAAGCCTCGTCGAACGGGAGAAAATATCCCGTGACGCGGCAACGATAACGGGCTGCATAGACGCGTAATTAATCGCGTCGATTAATCGATTGAATCTTGATTGATTCAGTCTACCGAGGCAAATATAGCTACGAATCGGTGTATCGCGTTGCGTTTATGACGGCTGGCCGGTCGGTGACGCAAACTTAATTACGCGTAACAGCGCGACCGAATGACGCCCCAACGCGGAAAAATGAATCGCGCACGCGACGGAATTGCCCGTCTCCCTCGAGCCACGACTCGATGGAAGTCTTAATCTCCGCATAACGCTTTAGGCGCGAAATTTTCATCGGCTCGCTCGAAATCGCTCGTCCGGAACGATTCGATTCGCGTTACGCGATCTTCGCGAGAAGATAACGATACGGTTATTCGTTCGGCGAAGAGCGCGTGCACGCTTCGCGATCTCGCGTGGACGCGCCGCGGCCATGCATCATCGGGGAAAATCGATACGCGATAACGGAGCAATAATTTTGTCCGTGCAAAACATAGATTCGTGCGCGCGGGTTTACGCACACCGACGACGACCATTCTCACGGCATGCAAAGTACGTGGGTGACGTTACGCGATCAGCTTACGAATAATGCAGCTTTTCGAACGGAACCGAATTTCCTAACGTCCCGTGTAGAGACAGGTTCTGGCTTCGAAAGAGTTTTGCGCGAAGATTTTTCGCACTCGTTTGGCCGAGTTTATCGAGAACTTTTGCCCTCGCGTCAGCGAGAATAACGAACGACAGAGGTTTCGCGCCTCGAGATCGGATAACGATCGCCGGGCGAAAATTCTCGGCGGTCCGCAACAGGCAATCGTGCGTAACCGGAACGCGCCATGCCAGGACCGCGAACGATTAACGACCGCGGGACAGGGATGAGGATTTACGAGAACGAGCCGGGAAAAGACGAGGGCTAGCGAGCGAGGGAGGCGGCTGAAACGGGCACGCAACGACGATGCACGAAATTACAGGATCGCGTGCCGGAGAGCATAAATCAGAAAGGAAGTGGCCCGGAGGCGAGATATCCCAGGACATCGAGAAATCGCTGATCGAGCACGGTTGATCGTGCGCCGACCGTGTTCCTCGTCGACCGGGAAAAAAATGCGCTCGAACAAATAATTGGTCGACGAGATATCGCGCAACGTCGCGTTCGAAACGGAACGAGAAAGGCGAAATTGCATCGCGCAGAAACGATTAGGTGCGTAAAGACGAGAAAAGACGAACTGGTGGTAGGTCGTTAACGGATCGACAACGGGGTAATAAAAAAGGGGGATACGAGTAGACGAACAAACGGATAGGCAAACAGGCAGGCAGGCAAGTAGGCGAGCGGGTAGATAGGCAAGCAAATAGGCAGGCAAGCAGGCAGGCAGGCAAGCAAGCAGGCGTTACCTCGCTTGGACGTGCTGTCGGCGCTGCTAATAAATCCAGGTACGGCAATCACGAGAACAAAGAGTCCACAGTGTAGCCAAAACATGTTTACGTCTTAACAACATTGTTTAATTCCATTTTACATGACGCTCGTAAAACACTACGATGGCGGTGGTGCTCATGTCGCGCATTATCAGCGATACTACCTGGTCGCCGGTCGGATCATGAGTACACGACTGACTGACTGGATTACGCGGTTCGGATAGGAGCGTAGAAGCGAGCGATAAAGCGAGGTAAGAATCGAGGAGCTGGCCAAGTCCGGTGTGTAAAGGTGAAACTGAACCGAGGAAGCAACGTAATTGAAATCGAGGAAGAGAAAACGGGATGCTGGCCGAGAGAATCGGAAGCAAAAAGAGATGGGAGAACGATGATGGGAAAAAAGCAGGAGCAAGAGGAGAGTAAGAAGAGAATATCTGTGTGTGTGTCTGTGTAATAGTAAGAGATAGAGAAAGAGAGAGAGAGTGAGAGAGAGAGAGAGAGAGAGAGAGAGCGAGGAGATGCAGAGCGAAAGAGAGAATACGTGGAGGAGAGGAGAGAGTAAGAAGGCTCGCGGCGATAGGAGGACAAACCGGCACCGACGGTATAGAACGAACGACGGGTCCTCCTAGAACATCGCGAATCTCTCGGTACACTGGACGACACGCGATAATGCACCACGCTAGCGCACTACTTCCGCGATCTGGTCCGGTACGACGAAGGATACCCCCTACTCGCGCGCGCCCAGAGAGAGTGAAGGTCCCGGTCTCGAATCACGCCTCGGCTGCCATCTTCTACCTACGCCGGGAGTCTGGAGTATGAAAATATTCTCTGCTGCCTCCTCCAACCCCCTCCTCGTTTCTCGCCTGGCCACCCCACCCCTGACCAGCTTTCCACCTAACCCCTCTACAAGCTCTAGCCTCCTATCCCACCCTTAGCTTCTACACCCGTTTCGTTCACCCGCGCCGTACACCCGCGCAGAGCCACCACCAGCTTGGGACCACCTCTTATCGATTCCTGCGCCATTTCCCGTCATTCCTGTCAAATCAATAACGC